TGAGTCACTGTACCGTCTATATCGGGCGTATTTGATACTCTGGAATGTCTTGATACTTTCTTTGAATACTCATGCCACACAGATAACCCAAAGTCTGAAACCTATGGAGAATATGTGCAACGTATCAGACTGTTAGTAGCATGTTTTAATTTTCTTTTTTCCGGCATAGCTAGAAAACAACGTCAGATAAAAATAAAGGTTGCGAGTTCTATAGATAACATGGATATAAAAGAGTATGGAAGAAATCTATGTACCCTAAGATTTTGAAAACGGTACATTTACGGTCGATGGGCGCCGCCATTTTGTTTGATGTTTCAAAAATTTTGTGAAGCGAACGTCTTCATAATTTTGTTCAATGACAATGCAATCGTTTTCTTGCGACGGACGGAAAATAGTTCAACATTTTCATCAGCGGTGACACGTGAATTCTGCGTGGCTCCTCCTTGAATCCCGCTCAACTAAAACTTCAGAAGATCACGCGCTTCGGTGTTCTTTAGTTACGTCAGTTCTATTCTTAGTAAATCAATAAAATCCATCGCCAGGCATTGCCTGCTACATATTAAAGATATGCTTGAAATGTCAATAACAGTGACAGAAACAAAAAAGCAACAAAAGTATAAATGTAACGAATACATATGAATACATATTTGCCTCGTCGGCGACGAGTAAATCTTTGGGATTATCGAAATAATTCGAAATTCAAAGTAATATGACGAAAACAGCTTTCCTACCATTAATGATATAAATAACTTACATGCGAGTCACATGCAAAGACCAAATTGCTAATGAGGGAAAGTAGCCAATACGCAACACAGTAAATATAACTGTCAATAGAGTAATCCGACGAGGGCTTCTCGAAAGTACGCCCTCATACGCCGCCGCCATTACTGGGGGGCATATACCGCTCACAGTCATAGTCAAAAAAAAAAAGATTGGCAACTATATTCATAATGCATTTCAATCAAGAAATAAAAATGCCATTTGATATGTAACACTTTCTTTATCTTTTTTTTTTTTTTTTTTAACAACTAACTTTCTTTTTGTAGTAGTAGTTATCACAACTAATCTTTATTGCTATTAACTGATAGAAACATTGTATTTCCAAGGATGCAATAAAGTTATTATTATTATTATTAGCGTCCCATAACAAATTACGTAAAAATAATAATAATAATATTTATTAATTACATGCGAACTCGTACTATTGCCACCACTACAAACTCACCTACAAACATTTAATACGTATTTCCAACGATTAATTCCATGGATATTTGGAAAGACGATGTTAGAGACTGGCTAACAGGTGGAGTCGAATGATCAACGGAAGGAGGTCAACCTAGAGGACTGTACTCAGGGCCAGAGACTGGCCAAAGCTGGAAATTCAGACTTTTTGTAGAAATTGTTGTAAAACTGGATTTTGTTTCGTTCGTGTGCGTCCAAATCGTTTTTTTTTTTTTTTTTTTTTGTTTTTTGCACGTACAGACTTAAGCTGTTTTCCAAAACGATCAATGGAGAACAGACGGTCGGTGTACAGAATCGTAGGTTGTTCATATAGTACGATTTAATTTTTGAGACTTACTAGGGTTAGTGGATAGTCATTCTTTGTAGAAAATGATGAGCATTGATCGCCAAGAAGATCGTTGTAACTACACTGATGAAAATAACATAGCAGCACAAGCAATTTCATAACTATTCAAAATATTTAGGCAATTGAATGTTAATAACGAATGCCGATGTAGAAAAAAATAAATAAAAACCAAAACTCTGCCCTTTGGACATCTCAAAGAAAGCTACGTATCACAGGTAGTGCAGCTGCAAGCGTCCCAAAGAAACTGAACACCGATCCCTCAAAATGGATTCGCAACCATGTTCACCCACGCTTCACAGGTAATGCAGCAACAACCGCAGCCAGTAGTTACTAAACCCAAGTGCAAATTGCAATGTTTTTCTCAAGAAGAACAAAGTGCAAGTTTCTTATTTGGGGTCCTAATGACTATGCGATTGCTGATGTTTCACTAGATTTACCATGCGCTGA